CTCACACAAAATCCAACACCATCACCCTGGGCCTCTGATACCAAGTCCAACAAAATTCAACAGGACAATCAGGTATGGTACCAAACCTGCCAAAACCTAGCAAACCGAAACCTGCCGTTGGAGTTTGATGGATATTGGGCAGTTAGTTATTTGTGGATTCGCGCTCAAGTGTCCTCCTTTCCCCACAGGGTGTGAAGCACCTCCATGACCATAACTTACTCCATTTAGACATCAAACCAGAGAACATCTTTGTGTCTATGTATGGAGCTTGTAAGCTGGGAGACTTTGGTCTGACAGTGCAGCTGGGGAAGGTATAGTTGCCATAGAAACAGTTGGATCAGTCAAATCTCAGGTATCACAATCATGGTTTGTTTAGGGGGATACCATCCAATCTAAAATCAAAGCCAATAAACTTTGTCTGTGCGTGAGACATTTAAGTAGGTCTTTAAGTTCCTTTATCAAATTTTGGACAATAGTTTTCACTGATTTTTAAACAGAGTAGTAATTCTTGCCATATCACGAGAAAATGAAACCACCCCAAATGTGGATATTAATAACAAGTAATTTTGTATGTTGGATCACAGAATGATTTGACTGATGCCCAGGAAGGGGATCCACGCTATTTAGCGCCTGAGTTACTTCAAGGCAAGTTTGGCAAGCATGCTGATGTCTTTAGGTAAGCTGGGGTTAAGTGGCTTAGGCAAACTCAACAGATTTGAATTTGTTAAAGTATGTCTTGCGTCACTTATTTGTTGGATGTAACACATCTCCGCATTTATGAAACTGGCGACCTAATCCTTAATCCTAATCAATTGATAAAATAAAAATAATCAAAAGAAACCAATTCCTGTCTGATTTATGAGCTGTGTCGAACCTTAATTTTAGACATTGGTCTCATACCTTGGGGATGATTAAATATGAAGGTTGTTTATGTCTCGTCAGTATTGGAATCACGATATTGGAGTTGGCTTGTGACCTTGACTTACCTCAGAATGGTCAATTATGGCATCAGCTTAGGAATGGAGACATCCCTTGGGATATCACAAAAGGTAAACTTATGAGTTTGGAGATTTTCAATCATTTCATATCAAAATGTCTTCAACTTGACTTCAAACCCTCAGATATTTTCTTTGGAATCTTCCTGATTCTTCCAAAATCTACTACTATATAATATAAACATATCAAAAATATCACTACCGAGGAACGAACTTTATTGAAAAATACAAAAGTGCATCATCACATTACCGTAATTTTCTATAAGCTACGGCTTACGTTGGTTCTCAGGCTGAGTGAACAATGTCCCTGTAGCTTATACTCCAGGCGGGTCATACGGCGACATTTGAAGAATAAGTTCAGTCACCTATCTCAGTCTCGCACTCAATAATTTGCTTACACTTGCCAGTCACTGTATTTTTATCACACCAGATGTCTTGCAAAATTATGACATTCTCTGAGTTTCCAAGGTCTGTACCTCACCAGTCAAGACTGACTGTATACTGTAGCTTTCAGTGATCATGGTGATAATGCAAATCCTTTTAAAAAGACATTTCAGTACCATTGTTGCCACGCTCCCACACTTATGTACCTTCATTTGTGCAAAGATTGTACAGATTTGTGCACATTGAGACGAAATTTAATCCAGGGTATTCTGTGCCATAGGCCAGGCTTGTAAGCCCCCTGTAATAGCCCGATTTCAAGTTTTCCTTATTTGTGAGATAACACATTGACACCATGGGGCACCATACATGTGGCAGATTGGGTCAAGGCTCATGGGTCATGCATAGCCTCTTCTGTCCTTTGTATTGTCACATTATAATGAACCTATAGATCAATCACTGTACAAGTGTGTCAATTTTGCTTGTATAGTGTAAAACTCCACTTGCATCTCTGTATGAGGTATGTGCAAAACATTGTGGGCTCGCACATGACATATTTTTCCCTACAGCATCATCAACAAATCATCGGTCGCTGAAATCGTCGAATAAAGGCTTTATTTATTAGAATTCTACATCAGACCTTTGGGGAATGCTATACTCACATTTCAGTGCTCACCATTCTCTTTCTTCCAGGTCTTTCTCGTAGTTTGAAGGACATTATTATATCTATGATGGATCCTGACTACCATCATAGACCATCTCTTCAAGACTTACTTGATCTTCCGGTCATGAAGTCAGTCATCAGGAGAAATCACATCATGTTCACCTTCAGGAAGGCTGTAAGGACTATCTTAATGGGCAGGGTTTCTGGACTGTCAAATCTTTTATCTTGTACAGGAATTTTTTTTTAAAGATAGCTCCAATGGAGCTGTGTCAATAATGGATGTAATACATTTTTTTAATTAAGCAACTGAATTTTTCCTGAGAAAACTGTGAAATGCTGAGCACTTGTTGGTTTCTCTTTTAGTCCTATTTCCTTCCTTCTTTTTTGGACAGTGGATATCTGTCGTAGCCTGTCTGAGTATGGTCCTTGTGCTACTTGCAACATTTGCTCAGATTGTGACACACCCCCTAAGGCTACCAGTGACGCACATGATGAACTCGCCCACAGCACACCACAGACCCCAACGACCATCTGACTGGGATCTCAGCTATTCTGAGGGTAAGGTGTCTGCCTGCAGAGATTACTTTTGTTGTTCATAGACTGGTTGGATGTTTTTTGAGTGGCATTGAGTTCACGTCTAGAATGGCACAGTTTAGGTCGAGTTAGGGTAGTGTCAAAGACACAGTGTATTACACAGGAGCCTAGTTCAACAACCTTTTTGATGACCAACCCTTGCTGTAAGGTCTATTTCATCCGTCAACAGATGAGTGTTTTGATACGGACGTATCCCAGGGTTCATGTGGACATCCACTTGCTAGTTTGTCATTCTCAAGTGATGAAGAAAAGAGCAAAGTCTTCTCAGAACCTGCCAGGTAAATTCCTACATTGATAAAAACCCCATAAAAATTTCTTGTCAAAACACGACTCAAATTATAACACCGCCTGTCAGATACAGCTAAATTCTCTCTCACTTGAAAATCCAAAGTTTACATGTTGTGGGTTGCACAAAATCATGTGTTTCTAAATTGGCCGTGGAAATGGAGGGTGCATATAAATAGTTTTTCCATTTGCCAGTGAAGTTTCTAGCTTATAGTTTCAGAGAAGCTGGTTATTAAGGATTCCAAAGAACTATGAGAAAAAAAACCTTCACAAGATAACTTAGATGACAAGCTTTCATTTGTTGCACCATGAGCAATATTAATTTCTGTGTTTAGAGTGACTTTATACCTTATAATTGTAGTGAGCATGTGATATCCATCACTGGTACCCCGCTACTCAACAGAAGTTGTCGTCGGACACCTCTTCAACCAAGAAGCTCCTCCCCTATTTGTCATGGGAAGCTCAACAATAGCTTTGAAAAGTAAGATAGAATGTCTATGCTCTAAACAAGCATTTAACCGTACAGCAACCACAGCCCAGCTTAAATGTCCATACTGCATGTAGACGAACCCATAGTTATTTCTTTCTTGTTGGGGGGGGGATAAATGAAAATGTAATGTTTAAAAATCTGATGACACATTTCAGGCAACGTGGCATTTTTGTCCTTTTATAAATACTCAAATATGTGCAAATAATGCACGAACAGATACCTTTTAAACCCTACATGAACTCACCGGTAAAAGCTTAAAAAGTTTTGATTTTCAGGTGTCTTTCCACGCCTCCCCCTTCCAAAAAAATAGAATGGAATGGGTGTTTTATTTCCGACAGGAGTGGTCTCTAAACAGCTTTCTCTCTAAGACTTTAGGTGGCAATTTAGGGCAGTACGTGTCTTACTATTGCTGTACGTTTGACATGATTTGATCTGATTTAATCTGATCCAGATGGACACCCAACGGCAGTCCCAATGTCAGTGCAGTTCATGATAATGTAGGATCTCCTGTCTGTCAAATCTTTGATGAACCAAAGACACTCAACAAATCAAATCTTGAGCCCAAAAATCTCATGCAGGTACGTTGACAGAATTGTATTTGATCACTTTGGGTCCGTCATTTCCTGAGCAAGAATATCAAATGTATTCCAATACTTTCTTCAAAAGTAAAAAACAAGATGAGTAGATTGACAGATACCTTTTTCAAAACAAGAAAGAGATAAATACATGGTGTTACCGCAATCTTTACTATAGATCTAGTTTCTTTCACCATGAAAACCTTTAAGTCTTAAAACAAGAAATGTTTGTTGATACATTCACATCAACGTAACCATATTCAGTCAGTTCTTTTAAATTTTGATGTAAAGCAGATTGAGCCCAAAGTTTTAAATGAGTATGTTCCATTTGATTGCTCTAGTTGAAATACATGCTATCTCAAAATGTTATGATATCCAATATCTTATTTAAAACCCTCAAACCAGACCAAAACAAATTGGCTTTATCTTTTCCATTTTGTCACAGATCTTTGAGGATACATGTGCAGATGATAACTGACACCAAGACAAGGTGATTTATACATACATGTCTGCAAATCTGCTTATTTTGGGTATCATTTTGGAGTAATTGGACCTTTGGAGAGTGTTGTACAGCATTGTTAAGATGGAATTTAAGAGCTACAATTAATCCTTCACATTTTTAAACATGAATGACACTTAATGATAGACTTCACAAATTTCAAAAAGGACACCAGACTTGATACAAGGTAATACAGTAATGCTAAGCAGGAACCACTCTCAGAACCTTGTCATAGTCAAAATGTAGGAACAAAATAAAAATAAACTGTTTTGCTTGTGAAAACAGTAACGACTGGTCTTATTAGCTGTGATAACCAATCATTCCCAACAATTCAATATCCCTTCTGGCTTCTCTGGGATATCCTTAGATTATGATTTGTATATTTTAGACATTTAACTCATTTTTTAAACCAAGAAATGAGCAGGTCCTAACCAAAAGGAGCTAGAATTCCATTCATTCTGCTATTTCTCAGTTGCAGATCATTAGATAAACAAACTTAGTTTATGACATCACGGAGTTTATGACCTTATGTACACTTGTTGTATACCAAATTTCCATGAATTAATTTGTTAAAATCACTCTATGCAAAGCAGCATGAATATGGAAGAGGTTCACTATTAGTGATAGGAACTCATCAATTAATGTGGCATAATATCTAATGGAGAACTTGCGAGAAAAGTATTTCATGGAGAAATGGGCATGATGCTTAAGATTTGTTTGGCACTTTAACAGGTGCAACAGCTACGTTTGGTGTGAAATTGGGGACATTCAAAATGTAGTCCAAGTACTAACTGTAAAAAAAAAGGAATTTTGTAAATATCCAAAGATGTATCTTAAAAATAATGCAATTATTGAGAGTAAAGAGTGAACAAGGGAAGAAGAATTGGGAAGTAGTTACACAAACCTTAAAATCGTTAATGAGTGCCTATTAAACACGGAGTTTGGTAAGAGAATCAACTTCATAACCTGTCAAGAATAATCCTTTCCCTTCAACTTTTTTCCACACAAATTTTAAATAAATCTTCCTTTTTGGAATTCTAGGTAAATGAAGGCTGAATACTGTGTCCTGTAAAAATCCTACAGCAATCAATTGAAAAATAATACATTTGTAAACCGAATAAAAATGGCCCACATTTGGTAGAAAATATTTCGTGTAGTTTTCCTAATAATTATACATGTAGTATACTTAATCCAGTTATAAATAAAAAATACACGCACTTGGATACTTTGGAGTGATTGCTTTCTTAACTTCTGGCATAATCTTTGTCCCTTTGAGAAAAAAATCAATACAACAGTATTATTAAAAAACCTTTCCTTGTGAAGGATCTTAAAAAACTTTGCAGATAACTATTTAGATCTCGTCAAATATATTCTGATTAAACATTTTAATCGTAATTTCATTTATCACGGTCACACAAACATGCAGAACAAACGTATCAAAAGTTACTTTGTGCCAAGACATTTGTGTTTATTATCAACCATCTTCTCAGTGCCTACTGATTGTCTAGTTGCCAGTGTCCATCTTGTCTCATCTTAAAGAAGTGACTTCTTCCTCCAGGAAAGACCATCTCAGATGATGGATTACTCAAGAAGAAAGTAATTGCCGCTCTGACCTGCTGAGCAAAATGCTCGGGTTCAACTGCTGGCGAGGTAGACATGTACTGAGGCATAGAAGACAAAAACAGAACACCATCATGGACAGATGAAGGAAGAACAAGCAGTTTGTACTGCGGTTGATGTGTAAGGCTGTGCCGAATAACCAAATATTCCATCGATCATCGAATTTTTGAATATTATTTTTCAAATTTGAATTTTCGAAAGCAAAGTTAATGAAAAAGGAGAATTTTCTTTTGTTTTAAATGAGAAAAATTGCACTGTGGAGGCTTGTTCCGAGTAAATTTTAATGAAAAGCAAAAAAACCTTACAACGATTTGAAAAGTACATTATTCGTTAAAAAATTTAACAGAAATATATACATTTTCAACAGGAAAAGAATTATTTTTTGTCTCTTAAATCTTGCTAAATCGTGGCTGGAGATACTCGTAGACGTGAAAAGCTAATATATTGATTACAATGTACAACTGTGACCGTTGTTTCAACTGATTTTATATATGGTTTGTTCCTCAACAATCTGCCAGTTGGTATGACCGAATATTCTGAAATTTGACCCAATTGAAGGTCAAATATTCAAATAGTGAATTATTCAAATCGACTCAGCCCTTATGAATGCAGTGGTAGTTTTCTGAAGGTTTGAACCCAACCAGGTCTTCTTATCTTGAAATATGATAACTGCAATTACCACCTCCATCTCCAGAGATAATTGATAGCTATGTTAATCACTTCAACACTGTCACCTGCTCCAAGGATGACTGAAAGTGTCCTACATGCCTTGCCCACTGACCAGTAAAAAGACTACTGACACAAACCAGGAATACCTTACTGAAAAATGAATTTAAAAATGTCTGATTAGGTTTACAGTCAACCTCTTTGAACGGTTGACAAGAAAAGCGCATCGCATATCCAGCTGTGTGAGCACTCTTAAGAGATCAACTATTAACAGGAATTGTACACATGATGTGCCCTGTGATGTTTTGCTCAGTGATATGCTCAAGCAAACTAAATAGCCTCGGTTTGCCCTAAAAAGTGGCCATCATAAATAGAGCTTGTAAGCTTTTGAACATGGGAAATCAGTACACAATGTTGTAAACGCTTGCTACATGGTTTCAGGGTTCACAATTCTGACCTACTTCTTGATACAAGCAGTTAAGTGATTTGGGGTTTACCTGTCTAATAGTTTGATCGCTCTGCCTCAAGAAGAGAGCTGCATGTGGAAAGTCATTGGGTGTGTAGCTATAAGGACTGATCCTAAGCCGATGGTCTGTGTGATCATAGATGTTCTTAATCTGCAAAAAATTTAGTTGAAAGGAATAAAGGATAACAGCTGTAGTGATAGAGGTTACACTTTCATTACGCTGTACGCAATTTTAAAGTTTGCCTTGAGAAACATTTTGCTGTAAAAGTATCTCTTAACCACTTGGTGCTGAGGTTCCCAGTACTGCAGGCCTTAGGTTAA